GGCATCCACAGCTTCTCTGGGCACCCTGGGCCACTGCCCACCCCCCTCACAGTAAATAATTTCTTCCTAATATCTCGTCTAAATCTGCCCTCTTCCAGTTTAAATCCATTACCACTTGTCCCATCACTGCACACCCTTGTAAAAGCCCCCCCATCTCTCCTGCAGCCCCCTTTCAGCATGAAGCTGCTCTAGGGTCTCCCTGGAGCCTTCTCCAGGCTGAACACCCCCAACTCTCTCAGCCTGTCCTCATAGGGGAGGCGTTCCAGAGATTATCCCAGAGACACCCTGAAATTTGCATTCCCCTGGCAGTGCAAATTTACCCCCAAGAATAAACTAGAAAACAAGGAGGAAAAACCCGCAGCACCTACTCAGGGTCTGCGGGAGCTGGGGAGAGCCAGAGCAGCAGCACCTGACGGCAGCACATGGATCCACTAGGGCTGGAGCTGCCTGTCTCTGCCAAATCTAAAGGGAGCAGCCTCCAATCCATGGGGTGGGAAATGGGGAGGGTCAGTGGGCCAGAGGGGTGTCAGTTGTCCATCTCCTGCCACCTTCCCGTCCAGCTCTGAGGGCTCGAGGGGGTCTGACTTCAAAATCTCTTTCTCGTGGTTGGGTTTTACAAACAGCAAATGCATCCAAGGAGGTTTCAAACTGATGTCCCAGCTCAGAGCCCAGTGGCAAGCGGAGCAGCAGCCCCTTGCCAGGCGCGTGTCCCGAGGTGCCCGCTGGGGACAGAGTTTGTAGGAAGGAGCAGAGCAGCCCCGAAGGGTCCCCACCAGCAGAGCCGCCGGGGAGCTGCATCTCCTCCACGTGCCTCAGGCTCTGCTTGTGCTGCTCCTGCAGCCGCTGCGTCCTTCACCCAGTGTCACCACTGCCACCAAGGCCACTCCAGCAGGTCCTTGGCCAGGGCTGGCCCCCCTGACACCGTTTTCACCTGGCTTTGGGATCTCCCTGAACCCCAGCTGCTGCTTTCCAAGGATATCCCTTATTCCTTCCAGGCTCGGCAGCTGCTCAGGGCGGAGGGACCGGAGCCGGCAGGTTCCCAGGCACCGCAGCCAGCACTGGGCAGGGACACAGGCACTGCCACCCCTCAGCACCCACCGAGCCCTGAGGGCGAGAGGAGTCCCAGGCTGATGGAGAGGACAGCCTCTGTCCTCCTGCCGCCTCTGGAAGCAGCCCGGCCTTCCAGACAGAGCCGGGAGCTGCGGAAGGACCGGGCTTTGTGTCTGCCGCCCTGCACAGCAGCTTTTCTGGGCTGGGAAGCTCACTTGTGATCTTGTTCAGAAAAATATAGCCTGGGGAGGCTGCGAAGAGTTGGGAGGCATCTGCCAGGGGAGTTGTGGAGCAGCAGAAGGAAGAGGAAGGCTTGGATAAAGGAGCACTTGAGACCCTCCTGCAGATTGACATCTCACGGGTAATTAAAGCTGAGCCCCGCTGGGACTCGGGGATTAGTTTTGCTCCTGTGCAGAGTTTGGAACTAAAAGGTTGGAAGAGATTAAATTTGCCTCCACAGCAAAGGGAACAAAATGAAGAGAGGAAGAAAAAAAAAAAAAGCGTACAG